GGGATGGAGCTGTCATCAGGTAAAAGAGAGGGTACACCCATCACACACAACACACATCACTCCATTGATGAAATAAAAAGAATCTCAAACATGGACACTTTTGGTGTGGTGGAGGAAATCAGAGAACCAAAAGAAAACCCTTGGCATGCTCCGGGAGAACATCACATCTAAACATTGGTATAACACCACAAGATAAAATGCGAGACTGTATGCTGTGTTTAACTAGACACAATGCAAAACTTGAGCAAACTCTTGTAAGTTTTAGACTCTGGACTTTTTTTGAGAGATGGGACAGGATCAAGTCGACTGAGCTTCCCAAAATGATCATGTTTTTGAAAGCAATGCACACTATGTTAGCATTAACATCGTGGTATTTGTATGGGCAGTGGTGGTTTCTAATATGGGCAGCACGGGTGTATTTTTCATGCTAATGTAATATTCAGCCAGTTGAACAGAGTCTTACAGCAGCAGATGTTCACGACAGACATTGATGACATTGCCCAAAGTGTGAATAGACACAGTGAAGGAATAAGAGAAACAGAGGACAAACAAAAATAGGCATATTGCACCTGCTATCATCATCCAACTCTAACAATAAGAATAACTCTCAAATACAAACAAAAATCATAGTTGTAACATTCACTAAAAGAGAATAAATCAGTCCAGGTTAATTATTTACAAGATGGCAGAGGAACAGCATAACTCAATGTGCTATTCCTGGCACATTGAAAATTATTGTATTGGCTTAAATTGCAATACATATTGCAGGTTTAGGGAAAAAATGTAATGTCAATTTTATTTTTTTTTTATTTTTAACTATATATTGTGCAACTTTAATCCCCATCTAGACGAAGGAGTGGACTCATCATATACTTGCTCTGGAGAAATACTTGATCAATCCAATTAGTTGGACTTCATTAAACATATAACTTTTTAGAAACAAGTATAACAAATTGAATTTGACAATGTGAATTTGAATCTATAGGATTGGATTGGGTTGAATTGATTGCATATATATACTTCTGGATATAGAATAGAACTGGTTACCTTTTGAGCCATATTTTTATCAATAAGAACAAATAGGCAATTTGTTCTATTTGTTCTATCCATCTTTCTTAGACGGACCTTTCTTAATTGGAAAAACTGAGAATACTTTTCAAATCAGTTTTTTCCAAGACTTTACAGAGAACTAACATAACACTATACAGTGGAAATTGTACTGGATTAATATGAGCTTTAGCAAGGTAATTTGGAGTATGAAAGAATGTTCTTTTCTGTTTCCATAAATTAAAACTGATTAAAAATAAACATTTTTAAGTTTCACATTTCAATCTCATTAACATTGCTCTCTATGAGCAGGTCCATAGCAATATCCTCTTCTGAAATCACTCCGGGTTGCTGATTTAGACCGTATTGGGGTGGTTGAGCTAAAAAGGGAAGCATTTTGTTGTAATGCTTCCATGATTTACTCTCAGTTCTTAGCCTGGACAGCCAGAGGCTGTCAACAATCTCCCAGCTGTAGCCTCTGAAACACAACTCATGGGCCTAATGAACCAATGCACAATTACTTCAGGAAAAAGCTGGCTTGACTTGGGAGTAGAAAAAGGATGTGGGTGTTCAGAAACACTATCTTGTTTGTATTTTTTTTAAGGGTGACAGGAAAGCAACATCTATGAAACATTCAAATAACAATCAAATATCTTCTGTGTTTTTAAGCCCCTTAAACAAGCTGCATCTATACTATTCTACTGTGTGTTTTTACATAGAAAAACACCAACAGATGGAATAATTTGACAGTGTTGTGTAAACAGCATGTCTGTTTCAAGTCAAAGAATCTCCGATTATTTTGACATAAAGTGTAGATGTAGACGGGTGCCTGTCCTGTTGTTTCTCACATCAAAAATATCCGATTTCGCTAATTGATCTGACTAGAGCAGCCCAAACCAATTGTAGTAATGGTTTCCTTCTGACAGTAGAATGACAAGAAACTGAAGTCACTGATCCCAAATACAGCAACAGATGTCCCGTTATTTTTATTTATTTTTTTCCTGAGCATGTTGTGTTCTATTTTAAGCCTATGCTGTAGATGGCTTATTTCCATTTTAAGATTCTGGAATGATAAAAACTGAATTGCATGAGATTTGAAGGGGAAAAGGATGGTGCTGATCATATCAAAAATAACAATTTAATTAAAAATAAGATACATTTTTTATATGCATTACCACAAACACTAAAACACCTGTGTTCATTTTGTAGCACTCGTCTGTTCACTGACAGTTTGGAGAATTTATAAAAGTTTTATGTATTAAATATATTTAATTATCCAAATGAAGAAGACAATAAATCCATTATCTATCCTTTGAGTTACAAATTGGTCAAAAGTGGACTTATGAGCAGCAGCCTGAAAAACAAATACAAAAAAAACCTGCAAATGTATTTTTATTAAAATTAAATTGATTTCTTTAAGCAGTTTTAAGGCTGACCTACATTTTAACAATGGTTTATTTAGAGCTCAGCTTCTCAGTCTTAACATCTGATTCCTTCTTTGAAACAGCAGCTGATCTAAAAGCCTGCTTAGATATCACAAATGTTCTCAGCTTAGCCCTAAGTGACTAACTCTCAAGTACTGGAAATAATTATTAATACATAATATTTATAAGCAGAATTGCTGCCGTAAGTATTATTACCACCCAAGCAGCTTTGTTCACAGATGGCCATACTTCAGGCTACAACAACCAACGCAGACTCCAAGTGCAATCTTAGTAGGACAGATGATGATACCATTGCTTCTAATGAACCAATAAGTAACCAGCAGCAGGCAAGCGAGGGTTATTTTGTAACAGTGACTGTATCTTATTAGTTTTTGTGCTTCAGTAAAAAAAAAGAAAGAAAAAAAAAAGCTGTAACTGTCCAAGTACTGCAAACAAGTAAGCAACAAAATACAATTCTACAGAGAAAGAAAATATGGTTCAAATTTCTAAGTTAACCAGTGATCACTGTCTTACCACAAATGATGCCTGTAGATTGCAACTAACAATGACCACTCCAAGCATGAACAATTTATGATGGGAATTTGTTTTTGTTTTATTTTGTTTTTTTTTTCTTTGTTGTAGAAGTCTATCTTGGGAAAGGCTTAGAAACATTGTTTATGTCCCTTTAAATAGAGTCACATCTGTAAATAAACTATATTTGTTAGTTGAGTTTTGGAAGATGAGTATGTAGGTTGCACCCACAGCCAAGTAGCTAATACTCATACTAGCTTGGTCACACACTGCTGTGAGATCTCACCATACGTGTCAATGACAGCACACCCAAGCTGATCACTCAAGTGTTTAATGGGATAGAGGGCAGATCTAAAAGCAGGTTATTCCTTTATCTCCACTTTAAAATTTGTGCTGTTTTAAGTAATGTAAGATAAGTAGTATTTCCGAAGAAGAAATCATATGTTTTTTGAACAATAACAACATCTGTTCTGTTGCTAAGAGTTGCTAAGAGATGAGCATGTTTTCTGGTAACCAAGTGCCAAAGTAAACACACACACAAACACACAAAGTAAATACACAGACTTTTCCATTGTAACATTTTCCTGCCAAAAGTTGAAAAAATAAAGAAAAATATTGATTGCCCTAAGCACAATTTTCCTCATTTGTTGTACCAAGTTTTGGAAAACTTACAAAAGACAATATCTGGTTGGTTTTGGTTCAGATTCTAGTTTTAATCTGCAACATGGCATAATTATAAAGGAAGATTTGTAGAAAGACTTGCGACAATTGTTGATGTGAAGGTGAGTTTTAAACCTATAAACAGACTTTGTGCCATTTACAGTCATTAGCTGGTCAGAAAGTTGAATATCCTTTCTTTTTCCAATTGGCAACAATGTTCTTTGTGTGTGGATGTTGTTACTAATAAGCAATAATCAAAGGTTATTTTCAGAATCTGTGAAGTACTTCAAATGACTTTGGAGGAACCATAAACACTGTAAGAAGCTATTTGAAAGAAAACTATTTTCAACATGTCGACATATCCGGCTTATTGAGGTGGTGAGAGAAAGCAAGACTTCGCTAGATACCGGGAAGCTGGAACAAAGTCTTCCTCTAAATATTTCTCCTTGTGGAAGGAGGGCTCAGAAAAATACTGAAAATGCTGGTCCTACGTCTTATATTATAGGTTCTTAAGTAACTTTAGAGTCAAATGAAACATCAGGAGCATAAAACTGGAGCGAGAGTAGAGGCCACAGAATCCTCAATGGCGCTTAACAGGCTGCCCTGCATTACCGAACTCAAAAAACATAAAAACATATATTTCTACATATATAGATAGTATTTTCCTAATTCCTAACACAGTGATGTCCTGAAAACAGACATGATCCTCATGGCATCTATTCTCAACACATCAGAGCTGACTTTTACCAACACCTCACTTTGCACTGTCATCTTTTGTCATTATCAAACCTGCTTGCAGCAGCACTCTGATAGAGATGATACCACAGGGATTCACAAAAAGTAACAGATGGTAAGGAAATTACCAATATACTTTATAGACTCGGGACTTTGCACTTGATAAAAACATAGAGCGAGTGGATTATTCATTTTCTTTCACCTGCCTTCAGATCAATTCAAGAATAAACAATCCAGCATCACCTATATACCTAAGGGGTTCTTTTTCATGTACATCATATACGATGTTTGTTCCTTAACTCCTGAAACAGATAAAGAAAAACTCAGCAAAGCCCAACAGAAGCCTTACAAAAGGACGAAGTGACTGATAAGCAACACCTACATGAAAGAAATGCGAGAAAATATTGAACAGTAGAAAAGTAAATATGTGCTTCTCACATGAACACAAATACATTGTGGATATATATATATATATATATATATATATATATATATATATATATATATATATATATATATAATATAATTTACATTAAAAATGTAAATAGCATGTTTAAAAAAACTCAACACGTTTAAAAGCATGTTTGTTTGATTTGCACTTACATTGTTCATGTACTCGCTCAACAGGTCTTGCAGGGCCTGACGAACAGCGTTGCATTCAGCCACAATCCGTTCGCGGCGGTCATCGCGTGTGCACGATGAGTCAGCCATTAGCGCAGCCCCACTGATGATGCTCTCCAAGCGCTCCTCCAAAGAGGGCCTGAAACGAGCCTCGCTGAATGTCAGAGGGTCCAGGATGATCTTGTTCTGCAGGAATGAAAAAACATGTATAAGGTCAGGAAACTAATGCTGACCAAAACAAAAACAAAAAAAAAAAAAAAAAGAGAGAGAGAGAGACCAGAAGAGAACGTGTGGTATGCTGTATTTCAATTTTATCCATACTGACTTAGAAAATGTGAGTCAAGTGTTTTATGAGAGTATCCCCGGAGTAAAAAACGGCAGCATTTGCCTGGAGGGAATAATCTGTCAAAACAGATCAACGGCCGTGTCATCTGTTGACCATATTCCAAAAAGATCCCCGCTCACCAGCCTGTAAAATGATGTTTGTACAATACGGCCATACACAATGCAACAGTTTGCTTCTTCCTGAAAACTGAACGTCTTGTGAGGCAAGTTCTCCAAAATGCATATTTTATATATAGTTTAAATCTAATAATTGATTAAGGTTCCCATGCAGTACCAGAGCTGGAGTGTGAACATAACATACCATGCCATGCCAAGTGATAAAAACCCAAAAGGGAACCTCAGTGAGATCTATTGCCACTGGGCTATAGTGACCTCTGCTGAGGCCTGTATATTAAGTATTGATGCTTACTAATGAGGTCTACCTTCAGTCTGTTGAATATCTCTGCTCTCTGATCCGAAGTAGGGGAAATGTACAGGCAGGTACACTGAGCTCAGAATAATGATCCACTTTCTCTTGCTATTTACATGTAAAAAATAAAAATAGATTTCTAAGAAACACAGTTATTTTGAAGGAGGAAACTTTTAATTGGGGAGGATTTAAAGGTGGAAAAGAGATGCATGACAACAAAAAGAGTAGCTTTGTGTAAGTCTAAATTAAGTTAAACATCTGAACCAGTCAACTTATTGTTGTTTTTTTTTTCTCTTTTTATTTTCATGCATAAGGGTTGCTATGCCCTTTTCAATCTGTCAGTAAAAGTTCAAAAATTGCCCCTGAAACTTTGCTTTGTTCGTGGATACTTGAAACATGTCCATATTTTTTTTTTATTTTTAAAGGTCTGTTAACTGGTACTACTTTGATTTCTAAATTGAATTCATAATGTTTTTTAAACAGCTGCCCACCTTCTTATTTAATTAGCATTGTTCTTATATTGCTTTATTTGATGCTATTGTGCTTTTCTTTCATTTGTATTTAAAACATTTTGAATAAAGTCTACAGCTCCAATTAAACTCCACACTGAGTCTTTAAACTGAAAGATGAGACGTGCCTTGCTTTTTTGTTATTTGATCAGCCATTTAAATTAAGCCTTACCTAATGACATTACCAATTACGGTTTATAATTCTAGCCTTTAAAAAAATTGGTAAAACAATTCAACAGTGGATGCAATGTTAAAATTAGGATATCTTTTTTGTGATCTTAATGTGTGCAAGTAAATCTGACAAGAAAAGCTGTAAAAATAACTTACGTGGTGAGTTTGGCATATGCTAAAAAAAAACAAACAGTAAGAACAAAGGCAGTGTACTTGAAGCAGGTTGCTCCAGGGACAGAGTGACAGACTGTCAAATGATGCCAAATAACCTCTAAAGTAAGAAAGAACAAGATCTCTAAAGTCTACTTTTTTATCTGAAGCCGACAAGTGCATAAGTTGCACAAGATAAAAAAGTGTTTACACTAAAATATCTTACATGAACATATTCTGCATATATGAAGGTTCATGATTAAATTCACCAAGTGTTGCCCTTATTTGCAGTCTTTCTAATGGCATCTATTTCAGAAATTACACATTTTGGTAGAACAAAGAAAGTTCCATTTACTCTTTATCTCAGTATGAAAAGGTCCAGAGAAGAAAAGACCACAGAGGGGAACTGAGAACATCCCTGAAGACTGGAATTATATTTTTACTCCACATGGCTTGTCAGAGTACAATTATAGTAGAGACCTGGGAATAAACAAAGATGAAAAGTGGAAAAGCAACAACAACAAAAAACAAAAAACAAAAAAAACTATGCAACTGGAATCTTTTCAGTTATCTTAAAAAAAAACATGATTATGACTGACGGGGACAGCTTCCTCAAGGTTTAGTGACGAATAAATTAAAGTTTTATGAGCAGTTGGCCCGTTTTCTGGTCACTTTACATGTATATAGTAGCTTACCCAGTGTTTTGAAAATAAAAAGAAAACTGTCAGCAACAATACAATCTGTAACTGTTGAGTTAAAAACAATGTGTCTCACATCCCTAATAAATAACATGATAATAATTAATTTAAGGAACAATACAAATTAAACATTAGCGCTAATCAACAAATGCACTTTTGTTCATCGTTGCTTCTTTTGTGCTATATGATCTGAGACTCCAATGAATTTATTTATTTCAATAAATCAAATCAAAAAGTGAAACTGTGATATTATATAGTTTCAGAACACACCGGGTGAAATAAAGTATGTCTAGTCATGTACAATGTGCACTCAATACTTGGTCAAGGTTTCTGTTTTTTTCCATGAATTAATGCATGACTGCAGCATAGAATGGGAACAATTGGCCTATGACACCGACAAGAAGTGAAGGAAGACCTTGTTGCTTTAATGGCAGCTTTCAGCTCATCTACGCTGCTGGGTTTGTTGGGTTTGCTGTCTTCGACTGTTACCATGGTAATTAAGTACCAGGTGTTGTTCCTTTTAGTAGTGTGGGCAGGTGCCAGGGCCGACTGGAAAATGAAAGAGCATCTCCATAAATTTAGTCAAATGGAGGAAGCAAGAATGCTTCATAATGTTGTGGTCTACAGAAATGCTGACTTTGGACTTAAAAAGGTGAAGAAGGCTTACTCTGCAAACAATTTGGTTCCTCAAATAGTAACTGGAAATTTCACATTGATTCTCTAGCAGCTTTGATTGTGTGTCTCTCCACTTTTCTTCCAGACTCTGGCATCCTGCTCGTCAAATTTTGATTTTCAAAGCACAGATTCAAGTTTCTGTACACAACTTTTGAATCTCCCCGTTGCTTCCACATTTTTTCGTGGTTACTGCCAAGCTTCTTTTCTTCACTTTCAATCCAAATGAAACACTTCGCCAGTATGCAGCTTCTCTATAAATTGTCATTTGTGGCCTAATTAATCCACGTAGAAGGTGTCTTTGACCATCTGTCTACATACCTGACAGATTTACATTTAAAATTACAATTACAATTTTGGCCAAGATAGGAAATAGTCAGAAATATGAAAGATGTATCAATTAGAAATAATAATTAATATGTTTCTATTGACATTTTAATGAAGAAAATGACATCTAAAAATTATATACATTGTTTAATTCTCTTTCTCTTTCCTACTGTTTATTCAATGTCACATGTTTTTATTTTGTTTTTTAATTATGTAAAGCACCTTGAAATGCCTTGCTCCTAAAATGTGCTATACAAATAAAATTTGATTGATTGATTGATTGATTTAAAGATATTTACTGTCAGTAGAGCATTTTTATAATTGCTGACCAGGTCCCAGGATATTTCCATCATTAGTTTGGCAATTAATCTTTTGCAATGAGTTCTATATGTTTGACTTTGGAAAGCCTTATTACCATCACCCTAATCTATTGATTGTGTGCACCGAGAGTGTGCAAGATTTAAAGTTGAGATGCTGGCTGTGTGGCTCCAAAACATTAATATTACTGCCACTCAGGGGAAACATGTTGGTAAAATTAAAAATATATACTTTAAATCCAAATCTGCTAAGGCTATGAATATTTTTGGATGTAGCTACAGTATTTTAGTTTCCACATATGGAACTGAATTACTAAAATGAACTTTTCAACGGCAATCTATTTTATTAGGATCCATCTATATGTGGCACCTTTATGTGTGAGTAAAGCATCAGGGAATAAAGTAGTGTGGCTGCAGGTTTCTGTCCAACTAGAAAATATTCTTGTTTACAAGTACCACACTCACAGTGCTGTTAAACGGTAAAGCTTGAAGAAAGTGCTTTCAGACTCTTTCAAAGCGTGAGTGCTCTGTGATGACAACCCCTGCTCAGAAAACTCTTATTCATTTCCTCAAAGTTCTTAGTAATAACCCTTTTCCTGCATTTTCCCCCTTTATTGCTCTATATTTTATAAATATAGCATGCGACACACGGAAAGCTACTTTTTGTATTATTCCTACAAAAATCTGAACTTTTGCATTAAATGAAACAATATTTTAACACTATTGTCTGATCTATTTTATATAACCTGTCTTAAAGCATATTTTTGTCTCAGTTTAACATTTTCTAAGTAACTTGTATCTAGTCTTTTTTCTTAATGCGTTGTACACCAAAAAAAAAAAAAAACTATTCAGAAAATCCAGATTACTTAAAGAGACACAATGGCTGGAGCCTTCCACGCATACTATGTCCCGCAGGGATTTGGGGCCAGTCCGTAGCAGTCTGTGATTCTGTTTGAGTATACCATCTGATTATGACAGCGCATCGAGACCAAAGGCAACTTAATGTTTGGCCCACAAAGAGTGAGGTTATTACTCTGACCCCACTCTGAGGCAGGAAACAGTAAAAGATGGTGCATGTCACATCAGCCTATATCCAACATGCCTTCCAGGACTTACCAATATTTAATTACAACTATATTGTCTACAAGGGATTTCAGCAAAGTCTCGAGCATACCACTGCACTGTCTTTCTGTGGCCCTGTTCCAGGGTTCAATAGATGCCTGATGTTGACTTTCACTATGTTTGACAAAATCTTGTTTTCATGACAGCCCAGGGGGGATGTAAGTCATACCCTGCCATCTGACTGACTGACCTAATGAACAGCACCTGACTCTTGGTTAGGTTCTGGCCTTTTACAGCCAGTGATTAAAATAGACTTGCAACATGGCTGCTGTCAGTAAACAGATCGAGTACAATCACTCAGAAACCACAAATTATAAACCAGAGGAAAAGGTCTGAATTCAGCAAAACATTTTTTTTCCCCTTCACCTTAAGGGAGCTTTATAGTAAACTAGATATTTCTTCTTTGGTATCATATGTCCCAAAAGAAAAGAGCACTGTGAAATCTTACCATCATATCACCAGCTGCATTCACAACAATAAAATTGCACAAATTGAAATTACGCTT